CTCCCTGGCAGTAGGGATGTAGGGACCTCACACATCAGGTGTCACATCGCCTTTGCACGCATGCCTTTGATTTTCTTGGTTTTGTATAGCTTTTCCTTGCTTTGTTTCATATTCATGTGCTCATCGGCTATTCTGCAGTTTTATTCACTTTTCCTCAGTCAGGGTACTGAGGTATAAATCATCCCTAAAATTGTAGGCAGACATTGATGATGGTTTTCTTTCACTTTCCCCTTCTCTTCCTTTCTGCTCAGAAGTATTTAAAATCCATTTATGCAGCTCAGGGGTTGACTTCAGCTTTCAGTATTTAAGGAGGCAAAGACTGGAGGTATTTAATTCAATATTTTGTAACAATTCAGTGTTTTGAAACAATTGTTGGTTGTCAGTTGACAAAACTATCACGTCAGCACTTCATTTGATAGTGAATTTCGTAGAGTAGTAGGGAAATTCCACTGTGACAGATGTAGACTTTTTTTTTTTGTGAGAAATTCCTCATCTCCACCATGAACTGGTGAATTATGCCTTAGGCACAAGTTCATTGCAACTCTAAAATCATGTTGCTCTCAGAGTTCATTCTATCCTGTACATTTCTGCAGTGCTTCATTTTAACGTGCACCTCTTAAGCACTGGATTCTTGGCATGGGTATGGCACAAAAGAGCTGTGGCTGGTGATGACACCAGGATAAAGGCATGCAAAGAGAAAGAGTGCAGGTGTCCAGACTACGAGCTGTCGCCTCAACCCCCCATCTGGCTGCCAAAAGTTCTGATACAAATAAAAATTGGATGATCTGGGATGAGTGTGGGTGTGTTTTTTTGTTTTTGTTTTTTTTTTTTTTTTTTAAAATATTAGATAGAGATATGTTAGTCTGTGGCTTTTTAAAATACTAGTTTCATTCTCTTAACTGGTGCAACAGCTTCTCCCTTTATGGAATTTGATTTGTCCAGCCAGTCTTTGAACACTGTTACAGTGGACAGCTGAAGCTGAATGATGAGATTTTGCTTTTCAATAGACCCCTACAAAAAGCCTTTTCATGAGGCTGAACGCCAGCAGGCTTGGCAGGTATGTGAAGGAAGTTTGTTTTCTTAGCTTGTGCTCAGCACTGCAGAATAATAAAGCCTGATACAATGAAGCAAAGCTAACTCTGTCGTCCAGCTGTAATACAGTCCCTTGGTAGGTAGAAATTTAGAAAAATATGTTGAGATAAAGCTCTAATGTCTGCTCGTGAACTGGTGGCATTGCTCTTGTTGCACAACGTTAGCTCTTACTTCTCAGGTGGCGGGTGTGAAGTTGAGTCCCTCGTTGTGATAGTCCTCCAGTCAGCAGCACAATAGGTTCCATGTCCTGATTTTTGTGTGTTTGTCTTTTATGCCATTGCAGTTATCAATCCTCCTCCTGTTGCAAGATCTGTTTCATACAGTGCAAGTCCTTCATCTCTGGAGCAACCCAACAGCGGGAACATGAGTCCTGCTTGCAAAGTTTCTTCTGCCCTTGACCCAAACCTAGGTAATGAGGAGGGAGACTTGCTTTTGGGCTTCTGTGGATGTTATCGGTAGTTCTGGTATATGGTGACCATTGCCTTCACTCTGCAGTAGCGACCTTGAGGTTTTTTCGCTAAAAGACATGCACACATTTGGTTTTTCTCCACTATGGTTTAACTAGCAGAAATGGCAACTGTATTTGGAAAAAATACTGGTTTGTTTAAGTTCAGTTAAAATGGGGAAAGGTCTGCTGGTGTCAGAGGTTGTTGAAAACCACTTTACTTGGAGTATGTGTATTATAAGCCATGGAAAAAGGTTTCGTTTAAATAGAGACAGAGTAGAAGGGGCTATTGCATTTTTTTTTTTTAATCTTTCAAGTTACTGAAATTGCATACATTTGAGCAATAAAGAAAAGCACAAATATACCAACCAGGTTAAATTTAAAACCTGAATGAGGTCGGTTAAGAAAAAGGTTTTTGGGGAAAAAAAAGTTGTTGAATGCATAAATTCTCTTAATAAATCCTTTTTCAAACACCTCAGGATTAATGAGTCTGTCCAGAGAGATTGTAGGTCACATAGATGATCACGAGCTCATGTAAAGTAAGTTCTCAAGGAAGTAGAAAAAGCTAAATGAATTCTTAGCCTTGTGTTTGCTACAGAGGAACTTAAGGCAGTTCCTAAACTGCAGCTTTCTTTGAGGGACAAGTCAGGAAATGGTCTTGAAAGTGGGAATGAGTAGAAGATTTATTTATTTTTTTTATTACACATCAGCAAAATGAGTAGTAAGTAGTCACTAGAAGAATTTTTTTTTGGAAAGTGTGAAAAGAAATATGGAATTGACAAGCTAATTGTTAAGTTGGGCAGCTGAGTTGTCATTGGAATTTCTCTCAGCACTACAGAATTGAAACACAGATGCAAAACTAGTTTTTAAAGGGGTTTTAAGAGAATGCAGGAAACTGTCAATTTGAAGTCTTCTGTTTCAGACAGTTAGAAGTAACAATAATAAACTGATTAAGAATGGAAAGAATAAATGCGTGAGTAATGTGATGTGTGGAAATTCAGTGTGCCTTTTCTAGAACTCTCAAGTGGTATGTATCTGTGAAAGAAGTGGTGAGCATTTGGAAAAGGTTTTGTGTACCTAGATTTCCAGAAAGCTTTTGACAAATTGTTTCAAAAAATTCTGTTTTAAAACAAGAACTTAATCCCTCAGGAAATAAGAAGGAAGGTCTGTTCACATATGAATAACTGTTTAAAAAGTAAGACATAAAGAATAGGAATAAACTGTTCCCACAATGAAGGGAGGTTAACAATAAAATTCTGTTGTGAAAAAAATAAATGTACTGCTTGCAAATCTGAAAAGGGGAATGAACAGTTTGATCCTTATATATTGAGAGCACTATAGCTGTGGAATAACCTTCTCTACAGTATATGTAAAACAGTAGGCCCTAAACTACCTGATTGTTTCAGAAAGATCTTAAAGCTATTGTGGATTTTCCTTAGGGGAAAAAAAAACACTCCCAAACAAAAGCAAACCAACTTATCTCACTGCTAAGTGCTGATCACAAAGGCAAAATTCTGCATCCTCGCTCTGACAATGACCAGTAGCAGATATTTATGGAAAGAATACAGGAACAAGGTAACCATGGAGTGATATTCTTGTTTGTATGTTTTCCTAGTACTTGGCAGTTTACTCCTTCGATAAATCCTGAGCTAGCAGCTGGCTCTGTCTGTATCACCACTAGTCCTTGGTGAACTTTTCTTTCATGAATTTGTTTAACTAGTTGCTTTTGCTGTATTACATGTTGGTCTGCAGTTAGTAGGGCAGTTAATAATTAACATGGTAGATTTTGATTTGGAAACTTCGTATGGATTTTCTAAGTCAAATGATGTGTCAGACTGTACGTGCTGCTTGGTTTACAAAAAGGGTGAAAGAAATCTATAATGGGTACTTAATTCCAGTGAATCCCAAAATGGGATTTCATGTTATCCAAAAGTATACACTATAATTTGTGTATTAAGCACTGACCTTCCAAGGCAGCAATACAGAGGTTGACTGCAGAAGATGCTGAAGCAAAAAGAAAAGCAAATAGTTCCACTGTGAATTTACAGAGGCATAGGAGAAGGAGAGGTATATTCACCCTGCTTCATGCTAATATTCCAGCACAAAGACAAAATTGCAGCAGTGATAAGTGTTGTTCGCATTTCTTTCTTTCTTTCTTTCTTTCTCTAGGGATTAGAAAGAAAAATAATCCCCAGACTTGGCATACAAATTAAAGAATGTAACAGAAGTCCTAGACTTCACAGTGCTAGCCTGTGACAATTTGCTTGTTCTAATTTTCCTGGTTTTGTTTTATAGGGGAAAAGAGAAAAAATAATGAACCTTATTCTCTGGAGGATTCAAAAAGACCAAGGGTTGTAGGAGATATTCCTATTGAGTTAATCAATGAAGTAATGTCAACAATTACAGATCCTGCAGCAATGCTCGGGCCAGAGGTGAGAAATATATAGACCTGGTCTGTTTGCAAATGGTCTGATTTCAATAAACGTTCCACCTGGAGAGAGTATGGTAAGCTAAGAGTCCACAAAATGTACCACGCTGTCAGTAAAAAAAGTAGAGACTTTCAAAGAGTATGATTAGGTGAGCAAAAAATATCGATGAAATGCATCATTAACGTGAAGAATAGTTCTACAATTTTTTAATGCATCGTACTGTTTGCAAAGAGACTTGGAAACTAGTGATAGTAAAAAAAAGTAGATCCCAGGTTATTTTGCAAGGTACTTTTGTTGCAGAACAGTTCCAGGGTATGCTTTTTATTGTTAATCATAGATGTAGCTCATAAGACAAAGTAAATGGGGTTCAAATACTGCAGCAGAATGAAAAATCTGAAGTTAAAACCTGTCTAGTGTAGAAGGGCTGTTATAAACAGTCATTTGCTCTGTCTTCCACAGTTGCTCTTTTTTTCTGCTGGAAGAGAAAAACAAACAAAATTGCAGAATAGTGCCATGTACAGAATTGCACTTTTTTTTTTTTTTTTTTGGCTGGCTTTTCCTCCTTCTGTTCCCTTTGCCAGGCTATGTTTTGCCAGCAGCTCTTGTTTGCCAAGGTTTAGCTAGAGACTGCTGAAGATTTGGAACCACGTACATTTCTTACTCTAACTATATACTGTGACTGATGGCTCTGCATATTACAAATGCTGTGCCAGTCTGGCTGTTGGGGCTGGCAGTGACTAGAAATCCAGCAGCCAAACTTTGCTCTAAAAAGTAAACAGTATGTGCATGCAGAGATGTTTTGGCATTATAAAATGATCTTGAAAAAAAAGAAGTTAAATATATTGTCTGTATTAATTTAATCTCCATTCAAATATATGGATGCAATTGCAAGATATGTAACAGCAAAATCAGTAGGAATTAAAATGTTCTTTTTAGGCTCTCATTATAGTGGCATAGATAGCGAAAAGCAGTACTAAAATGAAAAAATATGACTTTGCCTGCACCGCCATTAAAATACGTGATTTGCAGTATGCATAGGCGAATCTGCTACTTTTGTCCAAGCTGACTAGACTAAAGAAAATACGAAGACTTAGTGGCGTAGGCTTCAACTGGATGAGTGCTGTCCCTTGGGAGATTTTGGAACTTGTTGAGTAATAACTGTAGCTGTTGTTACCTAATCTTTACCAAAAGAAGTTGGAATAAGCCTTTGTACACTGGAGTGTAGACTTACATCCAGCTTATTTGATGGTGTCACTTCTGCTAAAAAAAACCCAAAACATTGTCAGCTCTATTTTTCAAGATGGCTTGGAAAAATGAGGGGGTTTCGTTTGTTTGTTCCTTAAGGCTGTTCCGTCAGAGGATGTGAAATCTCCAAAATGTGATTTTGTTCCTCTTTTGTGCGGTACAGACCAACTTCCTCTCGGCGCACTCGGCCCGGGACGAGGCGGCGAGGCTGGAGGAGCGCAGGGGGGTGATTGAATTCCATGTGGTCGGCAACTCCCTGAACCAGAAACCCAACAAGAAGATCATGATGTGGCTGGTTGGTTTGCAGAACGTCTTCTCCCATCAGCTGCCTCGAATGCCAAAGGAGTACATCACGCGCTTGGTCTTTGATCCGTGAGTGCCACTGGAGAGGGGTTTGGTGGGTGAGGCTGAGAGAACCTGGTGCTGGTTGCAAGCAGTGCTGTAAGATGGGGGCAGCCGAGGTGGCGTAGAAGGCAGCTCTGCCTCTGCTACCCTTTTCCTGTATTTTAAAGCCCCCGTAACTCCTGGCCAATCTAAGTGGATTGTACCCAAGTACCATCTCAGCGGCTGTATTAATGACAAGTGGTTGTAGTTGTGGGAATTGGGCCTGTGGGGAAGGCTCTGACCTATCTTGTACTTTTGAATGTTAGAACTGAAAGTCAGAAAGTAATTGTGGTGCTTATTAGTGGTTTCCAGGCCCACACTAACTTGCAGGCTGCTCCATCCTCCCTCTGTGGAGATTGTCAACCAAATGGCAGCACAGACTGGAAGTTTTTCAATGAGAAGAACTTGTGGGACTTAAAAAGAACAGGAGCATTTAAGTCAGCATGGAAGAAACCACTCCTCACCCAAGCATATTGCTTTTCTTTTTATCAGTGCAGTTTTCCTGCCTTGCTTTGGGCGCAGCTGTACACCTCAGGCACTTGAAAAGAGACGCGTTGGCTGTAGCAGCATCCACAGGTTGTACGCGGTGCCCCACCTACCCTAGTGTCCTGACTGAATTGTGCCTCAGCTGCTCAAGCATTAAGGGAGGTTCTTTTCAGAAGTGTCTGCTTTTGCATCATTTGTGTTTCCTGCAGAGCCTGCTTCCTCTTGACCAGTATGTCCTCCCAAAATTTCTGCCTCTGAATGATCCATGCACAAGGATAGCCTAGGGGCCTGCCATACCGATTGCAGTGGAGTGTGCCTGTGGGCTCGTTGCCGCATGTTGGCGGAGAGCTCGAGGAGCTCTGACTGACCTGACCACGGCCAACTGCCCAGCTTGGTTCATGGAAGAGCCTTCCTCCACCACCAGCAACAGAATCATAGAATGGTTTGGTTAGAAGAGACCTTTAAAGGTCATCTAGTCCACCCCCCCTGCAATGAGCAGGAACATCTTTAACTAGATCAGGCTGCTCAGAGCCCTGTTCAACCTGACCTTGAACGTTTCCAAGGACGGGGCATCTACCACCTCTCTGGGCAACCTGTTCCAGTGTCTCATCACCCTCATTGTAAAAAATGTCTTCCTTATATCTAGTCTAAATCTACCCTCTTTTAGTTTAAAACCATTACCCTTTGTCCTTTTGCAACAGGCTGTGATAAAAAGTTTGTCCCCATCTTTCCTGTAGGCCCCCTTTAGGTACTGGAAGGCTGCTATAAGGTCTCCCTGGAGCCTTCTCTTCTCCAGGCTGAACAACGCCAACCCTCTCAGCCTTTCTTCATAGGAGACGTGCACCATCCCTCTGATCTTTTTTGTGGCCTTCCTCTGGACTCAGATACCAGCTTCTGTCTTTGTGCCCGGTATAGCTGTTCTGCTGCAGCAGATATTAAAACATTTCTGGAACCATTTCCTCTGCTTTTAGACTCACTAGCGTTCCCTTGGCAATACTGTCTTGGTGCCAGCAAACGCTGCTGCTGGGTCTGTGTGGTCCCTGAAGCACAAACAGCCCAGTGCTGGGGACTGTTGGACAGGACTTTGGTCTCCAGGCACAGAAGACTGATCCTGGGCCTTCTCCTGTGTTCTTCAGAGGGGAACAGCACTGTTCTCCTGAGGGCCAGCACCAGTCCAGACTCTTTTACCTTTCTGTGTGGGGTAAACGCTGCTTGACTGGGAGAGAGAGGCAGCACCAAGATTTTGTCAGAGTTTAGGAGCCTTAGCAGCACTGTGATCTCACACAGAGCCTACTGGTTGAAGGTGACCAGTTCCTTCATAACCGAACATCAAAGCAAAATTGTGAAGCAGTGGTGTTGAGTCATGGCCTTCTCCCATATTTCTTTAGGTCCTCCCTTATTGGGAAAGACTGTTCTAGTAGGCTGAGAGGAACTGCTGGTGGTTTAAGTGGCTCTTCAGTATAGATATCCATCTGGAGAGCAGTCTGTGCTTGAGAAAGAAATACGGATATTGGTACAGCAAGAAAACGCTCTCCTTTATGTGCCTGTGGTAAACAGTTGATCCAAAGGAAGCAAAGCACGTTGCCTGCTCAGAGAACCTCAGCATCTGCCATGAATCTCCAGGGAGACACATTGGGGACCTCCACTGAGTAGTGGGTACACACAAACCTACATCAATTAGGGGATACTGGAGTCCAACAGTTCTCTTTCCAAATTTCTTTCAGTTGTTACCTTATGATTGCCTTTAACGTTCTTATTTCTGAAATGGCCATCCTTACTGAATCTTGTTGCTTAAACAACTCAAACATGAGTAAACAAAATTAAAAGCTCGAGCTGCTACATTGCTACTGTCATTCTGCAACTAAAAACCACCAAAATAAGTACAAGAAAAAGAAGAATATGTGAAATGTATAAAATCTCCTTTAATGATAGCTCATAAAATATAACTACCCTTCAGACTACCCTTTTTTTGGAAGGTGCTCACTTTTGGCACCAACCTCCCTTTCCCCCACGGTATCTTCTGTAAGTTTGCAGTATTGTTTATACAATTTATATGATACCATGTATTAAATAATCTAGAGAACTGGTGCAGTGTGAATCTTTCCAGACTTTGGGGATTACACTAAAATTCTTGATCCCTGACACGAGTTCAGATTGCACCTCATTATGTCTTTCCTGGCAGTCAATGTAAGTGCAACAGAAATGGATATTTATTCTGGTCTTGATTCCACTAGGAGTGGATGATTAGAAATACAAAATATCATTTCTTGCTTCATCAGCTGCGTTTGAAACTGATAGCTCAGCTATAGAGAGTGCATGCAAGGAAACAGGAATCTCTTAGCAAAGACTTGCTGTCCTTAACTCCATTAATTTCTAATTTAGTCAGGGTAAAATCATCCTGGGAACTATGCAATGGCATAACTGTCAGCAGTAGAGTCAATGAAAGCAATACAACTCTTATTTATTGGGCGTTACCCTAGTATCTAGGAGTACTTCGCAAGGCCAGGACCTTGCTGCATGAATGATGAATTTTATGGTAAATTCAAAGCATAATCTTAACATGTAGATACAAGCAGCTAACTTAACAGAGGCATATACAATTACATTAGCGTCATGGAAAGAAGTGAATCAGGTTTCTGAAAAAAGGAAGGTAATGGCACTTTATGTACTATGTACATGAATTAAAGTGACTGTTATTTTTGTCTACTCAGGAAACACAAGACCCTTGCATTAATAAAAGATGGTCGTGTTATCGGTGGTATCTGTTTCCGGATGTTCCCCTCTCAAGGATTTACGGAGATTGTTTTCTGTGCTGTGACTTCCAATGAGCAAGTCAAGGTAAAAATAATTTTCTGCTGGAGTTTATTAAATGTATTTGAGTCCCGTTCACTACTGTGTATGCTCCTCATTTTGTTAGTCACATTGAATATATTGCTGAGTTGCCAAACAGAAATAGGATTTGAAAGATAACGGTGATTCTGAATATAATACATGAAAACTAAACAAATGTACAACTTTAGAACCATCAACATAGTAGTGTGATTACTTGTAATTGATTAAATAAATAAAACTTTCTCAGCACAACAGTAGTGGCCAGTAGTCTCATGTTCTTGGACTATTCACTCCTCTGTCTTCAGCAATTCCCTCTCTGTGTAGAGTACCACCTCATGGGTGACAAATATTGCTTGTGTGTGACCGTAATTTGTGTTCAGTCACTTTATGGCGTTACATGACTTCAATCAAAATGAGATACATGTTAAAAAAAAAAAAAGGTCTAGTTTTGCATTTCAAAATAAGCGTGTGGTCTATTCTATACACTTTTTTTTGAGTTAATTTCACAAATTGTTTTCCGAGTGTTGAGAATTAGCAGCTATGTTGAAAGAATATAGAGCACTATGAATACAGGAGAATCCTCCTGCTTTCCCTGGGACTACAAGTAGATTTAACTACGACCGTTTAATTCAGGATTTTGCCTTTAGATGGTGCTGTAGCGTTGTTTTTCAATTGAAATTTAAGCTGAGCTGTGGGTTAATCCAGAGTTTGTAGCAGTTGAACATGCAGAAATGGTGTGCCCTGTTTCGAAGGGAAGAGCTCTGGGTGTGGAAGAGTAACACAGCGGGATTGAAAGCCTGTAACAACTGTTATTACTTGGATTATATTTGATTCTATTCAGCTCTGGTGTTAGGAAGATTCCCCTGCGCTTAGTAGTGGCCTGTCATAAAAGTATTCAAAGTGTTTTAGCAAATGCAAACCACAGAATATACTTAAGTCATGTCTATTCTAAGCTTGACTAATTCATAAAAGGTGTTTTCATTTTACTAAAACAACCAACTGCACTACACAAGTTAGGCTGCCAAAAGCGTGTTGTGATTCTCTAGGAATAACCTTTCAGAATATAGCAGAGCAAATAAATCTGACCCCTCAGAGTGCCTCCTAGGCTGCACATGCACACATAAAGTACCTCGCTGTACCAGTTGACTGTTTCTGAAAATTTGTCTTCCCACATTCCTGTCTGAGTAAGGTGACCCCTACCAGCAGGTAACTGAGAAAAACTAAATGTTCACACATGGGTGGACTGCCTACTCTTGGGAAAGATAAAGTCCTGTTTTAATTCAATTTGAGGTGCTGTTTTCCTTTATTTGTGATATTTAAAAGTTGGATTGTTTTTGAGATAGTTTGTTGCCCTGTTACAAAATTATTTAAAATTTTGCTGTACGCGGCTTAGTTTCATTTTAGGATTGTTAGACTTTGGCAAGTGTTTGAGACTTAATAAATCCTGTGACGGTTATAAAAATAATAGGTCAGCAGAAGATTTTTGAGGTAATTGTCATCATAATTGCTCTAATTTCTTTGAGACTCAAAGTTGACATTTTTTCTCAGAGATGAGATGCTTTAGAATTACTGGAATGAATTGCAATGTTTCAGGTGTTAATAAAATGTCAGTCTCAAACACTGTTCCCTTCACCATGCTGTTGAGAAGGGAAGTGACAAGCTTGACTAGCTCAACTACTGCTAGCTTGCATTTAAGGAAAACAATTTTCATTCCAATTTTTGGTTCAGATTTTTTCATCCTCTTCAAAGAATTTGAGGACTCAGACTTGCAATTAGAAAGTACCTTCATTATCTTGAGCACTTCTGAGTTCCAAGAAATGCTGTACCACTTAACATGTTGTCAGTTGTCAAACCCCTTTGCACACGTCATGCACAGCATCAAATACCACTTTAACAAGTGAACAAATGGATTTAAGAGCTTCCTCAAATTCATATGAGGTCTTAATTTCAAATATGATGTCTGAACACCAGATTCTCCAAACATTAGCTGGAAACGAAGGACTAATGCACAAATTTTGTACCTTGACTGGTGGCTTTTTAAAGAAAATGTGTCACTACAAAATTTTTTGTATTGAGCTTCAACAATAACCTAACTTGCTTTCATTTGGCTATTTCCACGTTTAGGCCTATGAAATTGTGAATTAAATCAGAACTATGTATTTTCTAATTTATTTTTCTGGCTTATGTACATAAGTAACAAGTTCCCTAGTTTTCAAGAAGAGAGTACACAAAACCATTCTGTGTATATTTCTCTAAGTGTCCAGTTATTCTCTATGATGTTAAAACTGGAACATACGCAGGAGCAATGCAGGCTTTCCTGTCTGTTTTGTTTCTTCATCTCACAATGGAAGGGGAATACTATAGCTTACTTGGAAACGTAAATAAATGGTACCTTTTTTTTTTTTACTTTGGGGTTGAATGAATATGGAAATTATTCCTGCGTGAAGGAAGGCATAGCTATTTATTTGTTTGTGGAGTCAGTAGTGTGCTGCTGTTTATTATGGTAGTAACTGTTTCAGTATCCTCTTTTATGCTCTATGATAAGTTCAGATTATAAATCCTTTGAGGTAGAGGCTGTTTCTGCTACAGGTGCGCAGAAGACAATAAAACAGATCTCATCTCAGAATGGATTCTTCTAGGAGTCACTTCAGTATTCCCACTGCTTTGCAATTTTGAAGTGATATGGCTAAGAAGAGATGCTCTATTATTACAATATATGTGGTTTTGTTATTGGTGAAATATGTGACTATTAATAGTTGATATCTAACTTAAAAGGAGGAAAATAATGTGTGCACCTTGAATTACAGCTTCCTCTTTAGAGCTACGCTTTACCCCTAGAGAGAGTCTCTGTGTTGGTCTCTTTTAGATTAAAAGTGAATCAGACACTAGAAGCCTCAAGTTACACCAGGGGAGGTTTAGATTGGATATTAGGAAAAAAATCTTCACCGAAAGCATTGTCAAGCATTGGAACAGGCTGCCCAGGGAAGTGGTTGAATCACCGTCCGTGGAAGTATTTAAAAGACGTGTAGATGTGGTGCTCAGGGACACGGTTTAGTGGTGGACTTGGCAGTGGTAGGTCAACCGTTGGACTCGATGATCTTAAAGATCTTTTCCAAGTTAAATGTTTCTGTGGTTCTAAGCTGTGATATTTTGTGTTCCGTGTTGGGTCACAAAGATATCCTTACAAGGCTGAAAATAGTTTGATGTTGAGTACACCTCACCAAGTTAGTTATGAGAAAATCTTTAAAACAGGATCTAGAGGAAAGGCTGCATTTTGAAGAACAGTCTGTAATAACCCTCGGTCTGCAGTTTCTAGGATGTGCAGTCTCCACAGGCTTTGTAATGTTTTTTTCTTTGTATGTTTCTCACAGGGTTATGGAACTCACCTAATGAACCATCTGAAGGAGTACCACATCAAACACAACATTCTCAACTTTCTCACGTATGCAGATGAATATGCTATCGGCTACTTCAAAAAACAAGTAAGTTGATGTAAGAAATTACTTGGTGCAAGAAATTAACATCTAGCACTGATGAACTAAACAACTAGACATGACAAAGTAGTTGGATAAAACATATACTGCAATTTTATGTGTATATCTACAAAATGTGCTCTGTGTTCATCTTGTGTAATGATAGTGGCTTATAATGCATTTTATTTTGATGGAATCATCTCAATATCGGGGTACTGTATAGCCTGTAATTTGCCAAGTTTAAAAACCATGGGTTGGGTGCTTCTTCATCCATTCACTTCCTTTACTTATTCCGGAGGAAGTGTAAAGAAGGACCAGACATGCCTGCAGCAGACTAGAACTTACCTGACCTGTGCTCACAGCTCTTCCTGATTTGAAGCATGAGGTTCAAGTTCAGGAAAGATCATGATGTCTAATCTGTAAACTAGATGAGAAAGAGAAAACAGTTGTTAACTGTCTGGTGAAGATGATTGATAAGAGTCTGACTCTATCTTCACTCTGAGATGCACAGCAATAGGACTAGAGGCAATGGACACAAGTTGGTTCATGGGAAGTAATGACTAGATATAGGAAGATTTAAAAAAAAAAAAATAATTTTTTTTTTTTTACCCATAAGGGTGGTGAGTTACTGGAACACGTTGCCCAGAGAGGTTGTGGAACTTCTGTCCTTGGCAATCCTCAAGAGCGAACATAGCCTTGAGCAAACAGATCTGATGAGATCTGCTCTGAGCAAAGATGGGGGTAGATGAACTCCCTAAGTCCCTTCCAACCTCAGCTATTCTACGATTCTATATACGAAAGTGGTACTACTTGCTCTTTGCACATTCAAAATGAACAAAACATGGGCTTGAGATATTGCTATCAGATCAGTGCAGAAGGTGTTTGTAACACTATGAATTACGATCTGTAACTCTTTCCTTTGTATTGCCTGTATTTTTACATTATGATGAATTTGGTTCTAAATCATCATTGCATTTCATTTAAAACAAATATAAAAACAAAATGGCGTCATGACAACTTGGGTTTTTTCTTCCTCAGGGTTTCTCCAAAGATATTAAAGTACCAAAAGCAAAATATGTTGGCTACATCAAGGATTATGAGGGTGCCACATTAATGGGATGTGAATTAAATCCAAGGATCCCCTACACGGAATTTTCTGTTATCATTAAAAAGCAAAAGGAGGTAAAGGCTGAACACTATAATCTATTCAGATGTTTAGAAACACAGTTCAGTGAGTGCAGGTTAGCGCTCTTGCTTGCTTTGGTGCTTGAAACATTAGAATGTATATTTTTGTTAGTGAGAATAATTCTTTCATTCAAGTCTCAGTGACATAATTGTGCAGTTGAAGCATTCAATTCTACCTTATTAACTTTATGATAACAGAAGTGTTGAAAAGTACTGATACTTTGAGCAGTATTTCATAGCTAAATTTTGTCATTATAGATGATAACTAAGCAAAATCTTGTGAGATTGATTTGTTCTGCAGCTTTCTCAGGTTTTTTTTCTCCACCCACCCTCCCAAGACAGTAGTGTTCATTAGGTTGGCTTTTGAATGTAATGTTTGTCCTGCGTGTCCCATATTTACTTGAAAGAAAGATGATTATTTTTTCTGCCAGTGGTTTAATGTGCAGATCAAGGGTGAGCTGTCTTAAACTGCAAAAAGGGACATCTTGGAATTTATGTGGGGTGTTCTTTACTCAGTCCATCATAATACTTCATATAATAAGGCAGCTTATTAGCAAAATAATTAAGATGTTTCCAGTTGTGTTTAAATACCTTCCTGGGTTTTTAAAGAAATAGAAATTACAAGGATGACTTGTTCTTTTAAGGTTGGTCAAATCTCATGACTTCTTATTTTGTTAAAATGCTTCTTTATGTAACAGTCATTTTCCTTCCAAAAGAACTATTTGGCCCACGCTTGCAGAAAGAGAGACAATATCTGAGCGCTGTACGTTTAGCTTACAAGGTTTCTTAACTTTGCTCGTTGGTAAAGTTTTGATATGTCCATACAGCATAGATCATCATTTTTTCCCTTCCATTTCTGCTTGGCTGGGTTACTCGTCAGATCCCAGTCTACTGCCAGACCTGTCACTTTCCCCCAGGAGTGAGCTGTTGTCAGGGTGGGCAGATAGTGGACGTGTCTCTTGTAGCCTGTTCCATCTCAGGCATGCTGAACTGCAGTAATACAGTTCTAGGCCCAAACCATCAACATGTCACTTCCAAAAACTTAAGTCAGTTTTTAAGATTGTGGTACTGGGACTGCTTTATTAGCATATGTTATTTTGCATTCTTCACACTCTTTATTTGGTGGGCTGCCCAGCACTTGGTGACACTCCACTTGGGGGTAAAGTGCCTTGGTCCTCCACGCATCCCATGTCTACCACAGTTAAAAAGCAAGCTGTTATTACACACTGATCTATGATTACTGTTGTATCTTCTCTGAGAATAAGTATATATGCCTTTGGAAGTGCATTTTACGATTGCCTCTTTGGCACTCAGATCAGGTTTTTCATTCTCCCTCTTCCAAGGAAATCTAGAAATAGCCCTCGTGGTCTGCAGTTTTATGAAGAATGTTCAAATGTCTGCTCAAATCAATAGCAATGAACATGATTCCTGGACATAACTAGAATTTTGAATGTTGGCAGTGTGGGTTACATACTAATTTGGCTTGCTGCTGATACTGGCCAACACTGGACATTAGACTACACTAGTCCTGACATTTTAGAGGTGAAGATTTTCATGGGATCTGAGCTTTTATTTAAAGAATTAGAATATATGCCTAATGGCTGCTAAGGCCATGGCACCCAACACTGGGGACGGGTCGCAGACCACCATTTGTGAGTTTGTCTTGCCTGATTTGTAGCTAATTTACAGTTGTTCTGAAAAATATGAAAAATCCCTTTTATGCAAAGCTTTATGACCTGCTGACTTGTAATTGGTATTACTGATTGAACAGCTTGTTTTAATCAGGAAGAGCCACTAGTTCCTAAATTATAAGAAGGGTTTAAGGTGGATTTCGCAATTAGTTGGAAATACCTGGAATCTAGCCATGGTACTGTTGTATCCTGTATTTCTCTTTAATATTTGTAGCCTCTATTGAAAGTCTGATTTTCTTCTTTTCCGCTTGTTTGAGAGAAAGTACTATCTCTGGGGGAGTGAAGGTCCTTAAAAATAAAAATATGTCCACCTTTATTATTTCCAAAGAAAATAGCCTCTCAAACTGTGGTGGTCTGAGTGGCTGCACATTTGTTTACTCCCAGTTATGAAGTAAGCCATTTTGAAAATGACTCATTCAGGACACACAAAGCTTAGGTAAGCGTCTAAATGTGTACCAAGAGCACCAAAGAAAATTACTTAGAATTGAGGTAATAAGATTGCGAAGCAGAAGAGAATGTACCCCAGAATTAGGAAAGCCTTTTCTGGCATTTACAAGCAGAGTAGAATATCTGTTCCGAAGAGTGGCATCATTCTGATTTCCTCAAGAGAAAGTCTTCAGTAAGAGCATCTCTGACTGATATCTAATTAACTCCTATGTCTCCTGTGGAAACTCCAAAGTGAACAGATATTCCTAAAATATTGGAATATGAGCATATATGTGCATTGAAATATGTGCATTTAATATTTGCCTTAAAATACCTGACCAGCTGTGCTGAAACAGTTCAGAAGCACCAGCTGTTAGAATTAGAGCCAGGTCCCAAACTTGCTTCCAGGGATTTTTCCTTCCCTACCTCTGCTGCCATCTTACCAGGAGCTGCGCAGCTTGGGATCAATACAGCAAGCAATGACTCCTTTTCTTCCAGATTTGTGCCTAAATAGGCAGCTGAGAGACTTGGTAGCCTCCTCTGCAGAATCAGTGGTCGGCCAGGTAGCTCACCCGTGTTACCAGCTTCAGTGGATCTATAAGGACCATAACATTAGGAAGCGGGAGTGTTTCTGTTCATCACAGTTTTGCATTAATCCTCTGAGCTACTTTTGAGCAAAGCAATTATTTTTTGTTTTCTCTGCTGCTTTATTACAGATCATTAAAAAGCTCATAGAAAGGAAACAAGCTCAGATACGAAAAGTCTATCCTGGCCTTTCTTGCTTCAAAGATGGAGTACGGCAGATTCCTATAGAAAGCATTCCTGGAATTAGTATGTATTTTAGTATTCTTTTAATGTAGAACAGAAGCAGAACAGCCCAAGAAAGGTCCAAGACTAGAAATACTAACGTAGTCACATATTTCTTTTTTGATTAAAATGTAATTGTTTTGGTCTGCTGATTTGATTTCTGTGAAGATTGTTGTGTTTCTGTTACAATTACTGTCTTTGAGACTTCCCTAAGGCATCCTAGGCTGATCCTCTTTTATGTACATGTGTGTAATTTTATTTATATGTGATCCCTCTTTGATTTATATCACAGTATAGTCAGCAATTTCCCTCTGGCACCACTGTTATGCCCTGCACTTCTGTACAAGGATGAGTTCTGTGCTAAATGTGGACTTACAGGACAAAACAGAATTAGAAGATTTAAGTATCATCTTTGGGGGGATTTTTTCCAACTTGTGCTTTTCTGCAGTTTATTCTCTATCCCTAGAGAATGAAATTAGATAACTTTTGCATCATTATTCTTTACAGAGGTTGTGGTAAAATATGTATTGAATTATTGAAAAAATGTGTTTCATGTAGGGATATTTTAGAATCTTTTCAGCAGTCTGGAGGGAGGCATGTAGGAAATTGAATGGGGCTGTAGGCTAGATGGTTGTGTTATTTATTAGGAGTAGCTTTTATTAAAACAAACCCATTTTACTGCAGCAGTGCTGAAATGGCTTATCTTTTAGAGTTGAAATAACTCAGTTAATGTTTTGACCTACTGAAGTTCCCATGTAATCTCTCATCTTGTTGGTGTACAGGAGAGACTGGCTGGAAACCAAGCGGAAAAGAAAGAGGGTAAGTACTGCACAAAGTAAAATGATGAAGCAGTTTGGAGATTCCTTTGAGAAAAGTTTTTAAACAATGCCATTTGATATTTCCTTCCATCCATTGAAAAATTGATAAATAATCTGCAAGGGATGAGTTCTTAAGTGGATTTGGATTTTTTTTTTGGGGGGGGGGTATTGTTGTTTTGGTTGGGGTTTTTATTTTATTTTTTTAATTTTGTTTCTTCCATAAAATGCTTGAAACTTTGAAGTTGCATTTAGGTAAGATGCACATCATAGGAATGAAGATAAAGGATTCAAGCTAATCTTCTTGTGTTCATATTTTCTTTCAAGTAAGGAGCCCAAGGATCCAGATCAACTTTACAGCACGTTAAAAACCATCCTGCAACAGGTGAAGGTGAGTGCTCGTCCTAGTTTACCTTCTGTAAAGATTTTTAAATTATTTCCAATATAGAGTTTCCATATTAGATACCTTACTTTTTTCTTTACCAAAGAGCCATCAAAGCGCTTGGCCCTTCATGGAACCTGTGAAGAGAACAGAAGCTCCTGGATATTATGAAGTTATAAGGTTTCCCATGGGTAATGCCATTAACATTTTTTAAGTATAGAGTTTAAAAATCTTTATAGCTGGAGACATAGCAGATAAATTGTAATCTGATTGTTTTATGTTAAAAGATATATATTACTTGCAGCTGAATAGCTCGCAGCTCTGAAGTGCCAAGAGTATGATGCTGTCATTTGGAATTTATGACTGCTTTGTGACCTTTGTGAAGCATCTATAGTGTATACACATGAAATCTTAGCATGCCCTAGAGAGCCCTAGCAAGCTTTTAAACGGCGCAGTCAGCTGGAAACTTTCAGGACTGAGCTGGTTTATGTGAGTTGTACGGATATGTTCTTGTGTGTGGTAACTGGTCATTGCAGATCCTACTGGTATGTTAAAAAAGTCTCAAGGCAAACTTTCAGCAACACCTGAGCATTTGAATTGCTTTGAAAAGCAGACTTTAGCTTTCTAAATCATACAGAGAAAACCTTTTCAAAAGTACCAGGGTTTTCTAATTAAGTCTTAACAGTTTGTTCCCATTTAAGTCTAGGAAAATGCTTCATGCAACTGATCGTAAGATAACATTTATTTTTGTATTTTAGGTCTGCCTAAGTTGCCTGAGGTGGTTTGTTTGTTTGTTTATTTATTTATTTATATTTTTAAATCATGCAGCTATTGTTTATGCAGGATTACTTGCAAAGGGAAGTACACAACTGCTAATAACGTTTTTCTTTGCTTTTGACTGCTGGGTCATATAATTTCAATGACGATTCAGTGGTGTTCTAAACAGATGCTTGTTTTGATTTGTATTGCAGCAGATTTAAAACTGAATCCCGCTACTACTTCATTGTTTATGCAGTACTCACCTCCATCTTTTTGATTACAGTTTCTGTACCTTTTAGTGTTATTAGAGAATGAAATACAAGTTCATTGCAGGCTATCAATCAGTTTCTCAGAGAATGAGCGTGTTCCTTCATGCGGCTTTGCATAGGCTCCTAGCCTGTGTGTACCAGTTTGGCTTAATGACTTTTTAATTCAACTTATCTTTTCCGAATAGCAAATATATGCGTACTTTATAAAGCAGCATCCGGTTTCCTGTATCCCTGACACAAATGTATTTTCTAGCAATGAAGAAAAAGAACGTTGACATCCTCCCTTGGCAGAGTTTTCTCTGCTTTTCCAAGCAGAGGCTCGATCTAGATGGCTGTTTATCTGAACAGTGGTTGCAAAGCACTTAGTGCCTGG